TCCTTTCCAACCTAGTGATTCTGTGATTACCTTGGATTCCTAAAATGAGGAAGATTAAAAGACGACAGTTTCCTGACTACTTACAATGCTTAAAAGGAAATAACTGAACAACTTTACACGAGCCTGTTTTGCTCAGTGAAGCAAGAAGTTCAGCCCAGGCAGTGAGGCAGGTAAATACCTGTGTGATTAACCTGTGCTATATTTTGTGATGACTAGACTGCTGCTTCTGCCTGGTATGGGTAGTTTACAGGCAACTTCTGTTCATCTACATGATCATGTAATCATGGCAGTGGCTGTAAAGCATATATAGAGTTGTGTGTTGTGATGATCATCATACTTCTTACTTCTCTTATTTCCAGCATACTCGGGAATTGCTAAAGCCCCAGCTGTGCAGAGGAACTTGCTTCTCATAATACCCTCTTCAGGGGTGCAAAGGACATTGCCTCTTGGGAAATGTTAGGAAAAGGGAAGGCTGCCACCTGCTGCCATAGACATGCCACTTGGTTGTTCTTACTTGTGCCTGTAGTAGTAATTATTCGTGGGAAATTAAAGTCGGCACTGTCCAATAAAAAAATGTCATGCACAAGTATTCGTTATAGTGGTTGCCATACAGATGCAGAGTGAAAGAGTCTGCTGACAGGTTTTTCCAGAAGGCTTCCAAGAGCTCATGAGCCCGAGATCACTAGAGCCCAGTCTACTTTCAGCTGTTTCGGCTGGGATAGAGTACCCACTTTGTACCTTGAGGGGGAAAGAAGGGAGAGGAGAAGGTAGCTATGAACAGACCCAACTGTGGCTGTTATAGTGTCCCTGGGGAGATATTCTTATGTGGAGGAGAAATCTCTAATTAGATTTTAAGGTACTTTCTTGTCCTTCTTAGCCAGGTAGCTAACAGTCTGATTCATTAAGTGATCCTGCATTATTCCTGCTTACATAAGTATAAACAAAATGATAATCAAGGTCAGAAGGAGTAAAGGCAGGAGAAAAAGAAAAAAAACAAAAACCAAAAAAAAGTGTTCATTGAAGTGTGCCATTACATTGGATAAAGATGAGAATAAAGAGAATCACTCTCAGATATTTAACTTAAAAAAAGAAACCTTGAAAACAGTTGACATATGTCTAGCACGGAAATTTTTTTTGATTGCTTTATTCCAGGGACCTCCAGGTTTCAGAGGAGATCAAGGACATAAAGGATCAAAAGGTGAGCCAGGATATGTGTATCCAGAAGGACCAAAAGGTGAGCAAGGAGATCCAGGGGCCAGAGGAGACAAAGGAAGAAAAGGTTCAAGTGGATTTCTGGGAAGACCTGGCTCTAAAGGATCCAAGGGTTCTAAAGGTGAAGAGGTGGGTATGCACTGTTTGTAATTAAAATAGAATTCATTAAAACCTAAGTCAGTATTTATACCTTGTGCAACAGTCTGTTCTATCTATTCAGATACTTGTACTGAATATCCTCTACCTGACTTAGGGGTATTATACTCAACTATAGCAACCAATATTCATAACCAATATGTATGAAAGAATGAGAGTAAATAGTCTTACGTAATACCAGAGAGATGAGGCTAGTCTAAATACATGTTCCTGAAAAACCTTGCTGGTCTATTGTGGAGTTAGTTTGGATATTTATATTGGAGCATTATCTTGGATTCCTATGATGAATAAGATGAAAGAAAACCCAGTTTCCTGACTACTTAGAATGCTTAAGAGGAAATAATAACTGAACTAATTCCTGTTCAGTCTTTAAGAGTTAATCTTCAGTCAGGGCTGAGAGAAACCACAAAAGCTGGGAGGACTGACCATAAAACTAGAATAATTTGGCAGAGCTCTTTGCTCAAGAGAAACAAAAAGTAGCAATTATTGTTGTGTTGTGTTGGCTGAGAAACTGTAAAAATGATTCATATACAGCTCTCTAAACCTGACTCGGCAGTATTCCACGAGATTCAGAGCTGAGGTGTTTGGGTTTTTTTACCAAACCTGTTTTAAAAAGAAAAAAGTGTACAGTGTAATGCCACAGCAATTGAAAAATCAAGCTGTTATACTTATTTGTACTCTTTTACTCTTAACAGCCCTCTGTTTGTAACCATTAATATTAAAATTTATATTCCTTTAATAACAAGTAAATCAGAGGAAAAATTCTTCTTAAATTAGCAGAGCTACTCTGGCTAAAGTAGTGCAAGTTTATAGTCAGGCAAAAAGTCAGGCATTTTGCTATGAAAGCTGGTGTGGAAAGCAAGTAATGCTTTGTATATGCATGTGTAATCTTTAATAGGGATTGGCTGGTTCAAAAGGAGATAGAGGACTACCTGGATTTCCCGGCAGTCTTGGTCTTCCTGGAGAGATGGGGCTTCCTGGACTGCCAGGATATGGACCACAAGGAGTAAGAGGTTTCAAAGGCTCTAAAGGAATACCTGGTCCACCTGGATTACCTGGAGAAGCTGGTTTGTAACTTCCCATTTTTTACCTATGTTAAAGAGAACTTGATTGAAATTGCAGAGGTAGATTGAAATCAAAGACATAATTTATGAAACATAGGAAGTTTTTCTTGGGGTGAGATTTCCACAGCATTGTTCCCACTTTGGTCCCACTGGAGATAATAGCAAAAGTCTTAGGGTCATAAGATAATTAGGGTTGCAAGGGACCCTGTGAGGTCTTTAGTCCAAACTCCTGCTCAGAGCAGTCAGTTGTGAGATCAGACCAAGTTACTCAAGGCTTTTTCCAGTTGGGCTTTGAAAACCTCCAGGCACCAAGGCAGCACATCATCTCTGGGCAACCTGTTCCAGTGCTTGACTGTCCTCATCGTGAAAAAACCCAAGTCTTTGAGTATGTATTCAGTCATCATCATTAGCATGAGCTAAGTGATCAGGGGAAAACATGAAGGACTTAATCCTTTTTGAGTGCTGAAAACGTACCAGTGTATGCACTTATAAGCAAGTATAATCTGGAAGAACTCAGAGTTAGACAGCAGATACAGTCAAGGCTTCTTAAAGAGAATACCCATTAAATCTTTATGAAATGGAGGGGCAGATTAAGCATTTCTCTCTGACTTTGTGCTTCCTTTTCTGGGTGTCCAGCAAGAGGGCTGAGAGGAAGGCTGCAGATAGGCTAGGTGTCAATAAAATTCTTTTGCATTATGAAGCCAGAATCTGAAGACTTTTCAAAGTCTGGAGTTTCAGAAATATGGAAACTGTAGAAGACTGCATTTTTAACAGAGTAGAATGATCACTAATATTTTTAAATGCTTAAGATTACATATTGCCAAACTATAAGCCTTTGTAATCTTTGATTATGTATTTGCTGCAGGTCTGAAAGGAGAGACCAGCAGGGTAACTCCATTACCTGCATTGCCAGGTCCTCAAGGACCAAATGGTTTACCTGGACCCCCAGGAGTGCCTGGTGAGTACATCTGCACTAAATACAGTAAAAATTAGAGATAATCTGATTGGGATTTCTCTCCTAGCTCTGTCCAGATAAAACTGTTGGGTTACTTTGAAATAGCTATAAAAAGGATTTTTGTGGTGCAGAAACTATGGAATTAGCTGTAACACTCCCCTTCAAGAAAGCTAGAGGAAGTGGATGTGAATAGGATGGTCACACAGGGCGATGTCCATGGTATGCAGCATGGCAGATATTCCAAGCCTGCTTTGATACTGTGAACACAAATTAGCATTTTAACTGTGAAAACCTGCTGTGGAGGAGGAATAGTGTTTAAGTTCCAATATAATCTACAGTGAAGTCCTAATTAATAATGATAAACTATAAAACACCTAATCTTACATAGTTGATGTTCTGTGGTAAAATACTTCATAGTTTACATATTTTCTTTGTACAGGTAGGGTTGGAGCAAGAGGTCAGCCAGGTGATTCAGGACATCCAGGGCCAACAGGTGACACAGGTTTTCCAGGGCTTGGATTTCCTGGAAACCCAGGTCCAAAAGGTAAAATACTGTTTTTGCTCTTCAGAAAAGAAACCAAACCCCCCAAAAATCGACAACTTTTTTTTTTTCCACATTAAAAACAATCAATAAGTTAAAAAAAAAAAATCAGTGAACATTAGTCAGGCAAGTGTTTTTTGCACTGTTATACTTTACTGCCTTCAGGGTTACAAATGGGAAGTTCAAAATTTTTTGAAGTATTTCAGAGAATCAAGTATCAGAGCTGGCAGTAGGAAGATATTTTAAAAGACATTCATGCTTCCTGGAATACTGCCCAAACAGGTGCAGCTCATCTGAGTGCCATGCTTACTTCAGATGGGTTCTTTTCACCTGGATATGTGTTATGGAAACGGAGCTGTAGAATTGTCAGTACTTTAATTAATTCTGGTCATGTACAATGCAATACCTGCTCTAATGTGCAGGTAATAGAAAGCATTTTGAATATTGTGAATTTGGCCATTACTTATGCAATCATACCCCTCTTTGGAACCAGAAACATTAAGAACTATTCTCATAATCTCATTGAGGATAGGGAAGGAGGGATGGAGGAAGAAAGCTCTGATACTAAAACTACCAAGCTGCCTGTTAAAGAAAACAGTAGGGAACTGCCATCAGAATAGCTTCACTTTAAAAAAAAAAAGATGTTAAATAACTGATTTGAAGCAAGTAACCAAGTGGTGTTACAGTCAACGTTGAGTGAATATGTAAGGAACAAGATGCAGTGTGTCACGTCAACTCTGAAATCAAGATGCTGTCTTCAGCTTATGTAAGCTACTTTAGTGTCAGAGGCTCATAACTGCATCCATACAAATACCCATTTGTAAAATAAGGTGATAACCGCAGCATCTGTACTGCTGTTTAATTCCTTCTGCAGGAGATAAAGGGCTTGCAGGAGGCAGAGGCTCACCAGGTTGTGAAGGAAAGATCGGAGATCCAGGCCGACCTGGAAATCTAGGACAACCAGGAGAAAAGGTTTGGTTAGAAATACAGCACAGACTTTTCCATAGGTCCCATTCGTTAAATGTGACACTGAGCAAATAAATTAAGACATGTAAGGAATATAAGAGTACCTATATTTCCTGACCAGTGATGCACAAACTATGAAATTAAATTGTTTATGTATTTATATATAAAGGGGCTCAAGCCAAAATTTTAAATTCAGATACAGGATTTCAGAACTGCAAGTGTTTGGGATGTTATGGTACTTCAGTTTTCAGAGCACAAGGAGGATATTGCATGGCTTACAGTAAAAAATGAAGGCCAAAGCTTCTGAAAAGAAGAGAAATTGCAATTAAGCACGTTTGGTCAGTAGCAAGTAAGTATGCATTTAATTTAAGCAAGTGCTCTGTTCAATTGAAGTGTAAAGGAAGCAGGTTGGAGGCAATACTGCAGCCACTCTTGCTGATTAACAGAAGGGATATCTACTGATGGCATATGTAAATGTGGGATTCCTGACTACTCTGTAGTCAGGATTCAAATTTGAACAAAATAATAACACCTAAATGTTTTGAAAAGGTGGCATTTCTTTTTTTGTGTGCTCATATGTCATTTTTTTGTCTGTTTTTTTTGATGTGACAAAGGGATGGGGTGGGGTGGGGTTGTGATTATTCTTTTAATTATTATTTAATCTGTGTTTGCCACAGAACAGCTGGATGTGGAGTGGCCTTTGTGGTCCAAGTATATCATCAGTGACTGGTATAAGCTCAGCTCTGCTGACGTGCTTTATGAACATATTCATTTGCTGGTATTCAAAGCTAGTGCTCGAAACAACCAGCACTTCAGTCAGCCAAAAAAAAACAATTCAAACTTTTGCTTCAGGGAATAGACTTGGAACATTTGTGATAAAACAGTCTTCATGGAAAACAATGTTCAGAAGAATGATTAAAAAAACCCTAATAACTGAGTTTGTATTCTCAGACACATCTGGGGGCTGACCTTGGTTATTTAAAGAAATATTTTGATAAAAATATGACTATCATATGAAATAAAGGAAAAGTTGTATTTGCACAAACTTCAACCAGGTTGTCAGATAAAGGTCCAAAGCTTTCCACAGCTACAGCAAGCATCACAGTGCAATAAAGGCCAAATGGAGGGAAGTGTCTTGCATTGCTCAGTAGCAATTTCTTAGTGTTAGGAGACAGAGTTTACAAGCTGTCTAGACTAATTGCTCCTCTGGTATGGAACCTGTGGCTGTTCAATAAGGAACATCCAGTGGTCTGCTGAACGGAAGCCATTAAAAATTATAATGTTTTATAATTTAAAATTATAAAATTTTATAATGGAATGGGAATGGAGAAAATTACCCTAATAAAATTACCTGTGATCAAAGTTAATTGATCACACAGTAGAAAAAATATTTTGGCAGATTTGCAAAACATAGTACATGTGGATTGTTTACGTTTCTCTCTGTTGCAGGGTGACCCAGGCATGGTTATTCCTGGAGAGCCAGGTAGACTAGGTTCACCAGTATTCCTGGCTCAAAAGGTGATACTGGATTTCCAGGGCTTCCAGGCCTACCAGGGCATGCTGGACATGATGGTGATGATGGCCTAAGAGGTACTGTTGTCAAACAAGCTCAAGGAGCACAGCAAGTTATTTTAAGGAAAGGGAAGCCAAGTCAAACAATGCTCACTCAAAGCCTGAAAATTCTACTTAAATCATTGTGAATCCAGTCTCCTTTCTTTTAGGAGATCGTGGCTCACCTGGAGTTCCTGGAGATCCAGGTTTTCCAGGGAAACCTGCTGAATGTCTTATTGGCCTGCCAGGCTTGCCAGGTGGCCAGGGAGCTACAGGCCCACCAGGTAGGATCTTCTGAACCGAATGTGCCATTTGGCTGAGTGGGTCAGGATTTTGTTTCTGCCTTCCAGTAGACTGAAGGACCTGAAGTTGGTTTTGGATATTGGTTATAGGATAGTATGTGAGAAAATGTGAGCCCATTTACAAGGTAGACTCTCTGCAGATGGGAGGAAACACATGCACTGATTAAGATGGATTAAGAATCAAATTCCATTGTACAGTACAAAGAATAATCACAAACTGGCCCAAATTCCTCAGGAAAGGGGATATTTCAGTCATGTCTCTTATACAGGGCTGAAATTAGATTCCTTGGTGCAATGTGACTGATAAAGAAATAAAACAGAGGAAGAGCTCAGCTAGGTAGAAAACCAGTTGAGGGACTCAAAAGTACCTGCATATACTGCGTATGATTTCCATTCCAAGAGAAACACACTCGAATACCCAGCACATTCCTTCTTCTATATATGATCTCAAAAGGTTTTGGGTTTTTTTTATTTGTTTGTTTAATATATTTTTTTTAAGAGAATAAATGCAGAATTGATGGGTTTTTCATGTTTATTTTTCTTCTTTTCCTGAGAAAGAACAGAATTGTCTCATCTTGTCTCTTTTTTTCTTTAGGAAAAAAACCACTACCAGATATCATTTAAGATTTCCTGAATGTGTATGTTGTCTTATAGGTCTAATGTTTAGCGCTTAAACAGGTAGAGTTCAAGAAGCCTTTCATGCTCGTGATGGCAGGATAGAGATGAAGGTTTACTTTCCAGACAGATGTACCATACTACACTGTCATGCATTTTTTTTTTTTTTTTTAGGAGGAAGAGGTTCACAAGGTTCAAAAGGAAAACTAGGTTCTCCTGGTTTGAGTATCCCAGGAATCTACGGAAAGCCTGGGGAACCTGGATTAATAGGTCTTCAGGGAAATACAGGGTTACCTGGTCTCAAGGGACATTCTGGAAGGCCAGGAATCTCTGGTGTGCCAGGTGAGGATTCCCCAAATACTTGTTTTGACACAGAAATTAAGTCAGTTACTGCAAAAAGGTCTCAGTGATGCTTTTCCAAATTTCAATTTCCAAAATTCAATGCTGAAATATTTTTCCATCAACAGCTTTCACTATCTTTGAGATCTATATGGAAAAACAAATAAATCGTCATTCCCTAAATGACGAGCATATCTTGAAGCTGTCATGACAGAATACTGAATTTTCTCTAACAGCTTTCTGAGAACAGAAGGCTACCTTACATTGTTTCTTGTACAGTAATGTCCTTGCAGTAGGACATGAGCTAGTTAACATTCAAAGCAACTCCTCAACATAATGGAAGTGTAAAAGTTCTTACTCAGCATCCCTGCTCAAGCATATAGCTTGTTAATGCTATCTTCTTTTTCTTAAAAAGCAAGTTGAGATCTTGAGTCTGACAGTTGAATCGGATCAAACTTGTCACATTAACCAAATCTAATTTTAGGTAGGTAACCCCTGTAGTTTTTTTTTTTTTTCAGAAATGTGTTCAAATTTGATTTGTAGAATAAAGGAAATCAGGTATGTAATGCTGTGTATCTCTTAACAAAGATTTTTCATTACTATCAAATCCTGCATTATTCTGTGGGAAGGAGATGGTACATACCTTTTTATATATACAACCTATAAAACTAATGATAAACATGTAGCACTTGACTCAGTTGTGCAAACCTAGATTTCTGATGTCATTTCAGGGGAGTTGTCATGTCCCAGCTGGCCTTCAACTCCTGAGCCAGAACATGCAATGACAGCTCTCTCATCCCTGTGTGGATGTCTCAGATACATTATCCTCACTGTCAGTTATTTCATTCATTGATAGAAGCAGTTGCAGCTACTAATCTAGGTAGTTTCAGGGTTACTGTGTGTGTAAGTGCTGTTCATGTGGTTAAAGACTGGAAAACTGGCTTCAACAGTATGTTATAGAAATGGAGAAAAAAAAATAAAATAAGCAATTAAACACTGAAGTGACAGGCACATGTGTAGTTTTCTGAAGTAATGATCTGTTTCACTGATCACATACTAACAAATATATTCCTATTGCTTCAATTCCACAGGCTCAAGGGGAGAACCAGGTATAATGGGCGTGTTAGGAATTCCTGGACCCCCTGGCATGATTGGAAGACCAGGCAACGTGGGTATCAGAGGCAAGTGGCCATAGTCTCTGCCTGCATTATTACTTAGAATATAAGAACTTACATGCTGAAGTAGTCTTGTGATCCATCTTGATTTATGTTACCACTCCTAAGTATGTGTGTCATACTGGAATTTCTTTGAGTCTTGGCAAATCTCTTACTTCTGTATATGTGCAGTCTACAGACTGAATGAAAACTTTTTTTTTTAGCAGTTTTGAATTGCCACCTTTTCTATTTCATTGGTATTTGTTAAAGTGGCTGTTGATTTGCTACATAAAGAGCAGACCATTTTTTTGCTCTATTTTTTCTATCCGATTCATGTTCCAAATATCATTATTACATCTATTTAACAAATACAAGATTATACTATATTCAGTATAAGAAATAATTACCATCTCTTGCCATAATCTGTGCTTATAGATGTTTTATTGATGATTGGAATAATTAAGAAGCAAGTTTAGGTTGTTGATTTGGAATGTATATTTACATATGCAGTTGCCCTTGAAGACAGGAGTTTCATTGCTTCCTTTATGCTATCATCTAGTCAGGTTTCTTCAGAAAATTTCACTATATTTTCTTGCAGGTTCTTCTGGCTTCCCAGGACTAAAGGGAAGAAAAGGATTCCTTGGAGCAAAAGGTGAACCAGGTGATAAAGGTTTTCCTGGACCATCTGAGACCTTGGTTGATGTTGGGACTAAAGGAGAACAAGGCTTAACAGGTACACATTCATTGTTCTGTCATTCAAAACTAGTTAGGGTTGTCATCTATGTTGCAGTTCCAGTGGACTCTGAAACACAGAAATAACTTACGGCTACTGAGAGTATTCACATGGCTTTGAAATAATTATTGCAGAACACAGTAACTGCCATTTTATTTGTGGGATAGTTGGATATTACATTGAGTATTTATTTCCATTTTAACAAGTCCATATTCCTTAAAAACTCTTACTGTAATGTTAAACCAGTATTAATATGTCAGCAGTACTAGGAGGCTTATATACATATATGCTATACATTCACGTTTTTACATGTTTAGTAGCTCATGAGCACAGAAATGGGTGTGCTTACCCAACTAGATGCTGGATTGCAAAGAAACTGAGTCTGCTCAGAAGTACTTGACTGTCAGAAGAATGAGTATATGAGTTGTACATGCTTAGCTAATGCTACGTGGCTTTTTGTGTAGACATTTTCCTATGGAAGCTTTCAGAAACTTCCTTTTGTCTCCATGTAAGAAATACAGTAGGTATTAACTGTGAGCTTGCCTTGCTTGTGTGTGTTCATGGAGTGAAAATGCTATGCTCCACTTCTGCTTCATTAGTTTTATGAGTTATAAAACTTTAAACAAAACTTATATTCTGAGATATATAATATATAATTTTTTTTTAATGAAACTTTGTTTTAGGACTTCAAGGAAGAATGGGACTAAGAGGAGAAAAAGGAGATGCCGGTGTGCAAGGCCCCCCAGGTCTTGATGGGTCTGAAGGAATACCTGGTCTACCAGGTATGGAATATGTGTATTGACAATTACTGTGTCATGTGGAGGGTGGAGATAATATTACTTCATTGCTAGCACATAAACTCAGCTCCAGCAGCAGCACCACATTCTCTGTATTAACTCTGACGCTTTTCTGAAAATTCTGAAACTAAGCAATTTCAAAAGCTTTGAAAATCATAGCAGCTACCACTAAATGATTCTTTGTTCCCTTCCAAATATAGACCATTGTTTGGGGTGATAAATAGAAAATAACATTAAATCCTGAATAATAACTTTAAAATCGAAAAGCTGATGAGGCCAATGAATAAAAATCGGTAATTGTAAAAGTGAAGTGAAGTTTTAATTCCCAATAATGTAAAAAAAAGTAAGAATTCTAAAATATTAACATTACAGTTGTGCACAAAAATATTTCAGAAGGTTTTTATATTTTGGATTGATTCTATTTCCCTTTTCAAAGCCTACACGTTTGACCTGTACTTTGAAAGTTACTAGGTCTTCAATGAAATGCAGATTTAAAAAGAATGTGCATTAAAAAACCTACCTAAGCCATTTCAAAGTTTTGCTCTGCCATTACCATAACCTCATACATAATGATGCATGTTGACCCTAGAGTGAGACAATGCATTTGTTTTTTCAAATTAATGCTAATAAAACATCTTCACTTCTCTATATTCTGTATTTTCGATTCTTTGTGAGGGCTTCTTTCTCAAAAACCTGACAACCATCGCAGTGAGCATCTGCATGGTGCTTGGTTGCTGGTTGGGGTTAAACCACAATACACTATAATTGGATACATAAGATGGTGTCAGTTTGAAATAATTTTAAACTTATAATCAAAATGGCTCTTCTCATGATGGCAATTATCTGTGCTATATGTCATTATAGCATCACTGCTGTATTCTGTCGTTAACATCCTTTATAGTCATTGCAGCATAGACATCACAGGGAAAACTGCAATTGCTCCACTACTCCTTAACATTTTATGGAAGAAAATAAGACCTCATCTGCCTACATATTCAGGCATTGCTAGTACCTTGGAATTTAGACATCTGGACATTCTAGATGCAATGAGATCTTGTAGTCATTAAACTGAATGCTAATTTACCTAAATTAAGCTGAAGATAAGGGAGTGAGGGGAAAAAGTGCCTAAGCCATACAAGAAAAAGCTCTTCAGTATACTAATCATGACAAAGTGCATAATGACTAGGTAATAATGTGACATGCCCAGAAACCAGACTGCACGCAGGGAGACAATGAAAGGAGAGTCCAGTGCATAAATACAAATTCATGATCTTGATAAAAATTTGCAAAAATATATTTTAGTTGCTGCCCCTAAGTGCCATGGTCACAAACCTTGAAATTTTAATGTTGATACATAAGATGCTTGTTATTTCCTTGAGTTTCTGACAACAGTAGTGATAACTTTATCTGTGTCTGGGGCAAGAAGAAGAATTATACTTTGGCTGCATGTTGATTTATAAAAGAATAAGATACCATGACAAGGTGCGCGGTAGAGGATTCTGTATTCATGACAGCTTTACCAGCCAGCCAGTGTCTAAAGCAAATATGTGAAGATGACACTTAATTCTTCATTTTGCAGGTGTCAAAGGATTTATGGGTCTTCCAGGAATTCCTGGACAACAAGGATTCCCAGGTGCACCAGGAAACAAAGGGGACATGGGAATTCCAGGTCATTTTCTATCAAGCCCTATTACAAATTCATAGAGCTGTATAGAAGCCTTTGCACAGATCTGAGCAGTTACTGTAAGCGCACTACACAATACTTAGACTGGGATTTATTCTTTGCAGTATCAACAGACTTCTCGCCACTCTAGCATTTGCCTGACTTGTAGAATGCAGTTCTCCCTCCCTCTAAATGAAATATAACTTCTTTCATTTATATATTGTTACATCTAAGAACCTCTTTTTAATGTGTTTAGGAATAAAATCACTGGCTGCGTAAATTACTTTAATGAGGAATGAATATCTGAATATATAAGCCCTAGTTCACAAAACACAAGATGTGGTATGCAATTATGATCCTTTTAAGAATGGTGTCAGTATCTGTATTTTTCCAGGTCCAAAAGGACAGAAAGGATCTCCAGGCTTTCCAGGACCATCAGGTGACCCTGGTCCACCGGGCTATGGTGGCTTTCCAGGTGACAAAGGAGACCCTGGGTACCCATCTGCTGGGCCTCCAGGAGAACCTGGTCCAAAGGTATAAAGGCAATGGAAACATTGTCATATTAGGCAATAGATTATAGAAATGGAACAACATGTACACAAGAACTGCAGAGTATGCAGAGCAGGTGATTTGCTAGTGATAAGAAATAGGAAAATTCTATTGTGTCATTACTCGGGAGAAATTTTTGGGTTCGTTATATTACATTTTTCTCTTGGTGCAAGAATTTCTTATTTGTAAAGATGGAACATCTTGGAAATAACTTTGTTTCTGTAAAAGTTGCTAATCCATTAAGAACAAGGACTTGCACTTAAAGTCAGCAGTAGGAATACTTGTACGTTAAAAAGTACCGAAAAACATAACCTGAGCAAATATGAAAGTTTTGGAATCTAAAATTGTACTGGGTTTTTTGACAGTCTAGTAATACAATTACACAAGATGAACTGTTTTTTTTCTTAGCAATATATATTGATGAACATAATATATCCTGCTAAGAAAAAACCCAAAAGGTATCTAAGTTAGGTCACTTGTATACAATTTTACTCCACATATTCTGGTTGTTGACCAACTGGGAGTCTACATATGAGATTATCTGAAATACGTGGTTGAGGCTGTAAACTCTACTATAACTCCTTTAATCTGTCTAAATCATCTGTTTATTTTCTGTATTAGCTGGGTAGCCACAATGAGATTACTGTCATGAAAGTCAGTAGTAATTCAAGGCAAAATATGCATTTCAGTATTTTTGTATAGCTGCATATTGTATAAGGAATGTATGTTTGGATCAAAAGAGGAGCCGTTAGAATGACACTAAAGGGAAGTGTATGTGCCAGTAAAAACATCTAAAGACTGAAGTTGCTTTATACAGATTAAAGAAAGATTTTTTTTTTGTCTTATCTATGTCTAAAGGATCCAGTGGTGGTACTATGAGAAGGCCTCATATTAGTCTACTTTGATTTTTGTCTGAAAATCATAATGAACCATGATTACAATTACTTAACCTTTAAAATTATGTATGCTTTTTCTGTTGTTCAAATATGGAATGTAATGTATTTAAGGTAATGTGATTCTTTACTTGTTTGTAGGGAGATCCAGGCCCCCCAGGAGTCTTGGGCAGCAAAGGAGAAAAAGGATCCCAAGGTCATCCAGGACATAAAGGAGTAGCAGGACCACATGGGATCAGAGGGGAAACTGGAGGTGCAGGAATCCCAGGTACGTTTTGTTTTGGAGGGGTGGTGAGATATTGACATGCTTCTAGAAGATAATTTCTCAAGAAAAGTACAAAGGGTGCCTGTGTACTTATATTTTATATTCATCTGCTGTAAACCTAAACAGCTCTTTTGTAGTCAGTGCAGTCAGGCTAGCTTACATCAGCTAGAGATCTTTTGGAGCTTTCTGAAGCAGAAATGATAGTGAAGTTCTCAGACTGAGTCTGGATCTAGTGATAATGCCTTTTCTCCTTTCCCACTCTCTTTTTTCTTACAGGGAAGCTTGGACCTCCTGGAGATATTGGTGTTAAAGGACGGCAGGGCCACCCAGGGCAACAGGGCATTACAGGGCCTCCTGGTACGGTATATAGCACCTCTCCCACATCGCTGCTCCCTGGTTTGTTACTTTCTTTGCAATGAAGCAGTTGATGTTCTTCTGAGCTTTTTAGAATTTAACTGATGCAGAGCTGCAGTCTCTGTTTATGTTAGTTCAAGGTTTTGTTTACCTTCTCTGGTTCCAGCTAAGGTCTCTAACAGCCTGTTTTCAATGTTACAAGTTGAGTTAAGGCAAGAGGTTTTAATTCACTGTTGTAAAGCTTTTTGCCTTTTTTTTTTTTTCATCCAGAGGTCTCAAGATGTGATATCCACTCAATTGTAAGAAGGGCTTGTTCTACCTCCTAAAAGAGGATAATAAACTAAGATATATATCTAGATGAGGAGGAGAAGAAAATGGAGTGGAAAGAGGGGACAGAGTTGCAGTTGTTAAAGCAACAGAAAAGATCAAACCATTCAAAATATACATAAGGGGGAGTGTGTAAATACACAACAAAAGAGAGGTATGCAATGCAAACTTTATTGAAGTGAGTGCCAGTTATCTTCAAATAGAGCATTGAATGCTCTTATATTCAGAGATCTTCATCAAAATTATGATGTTGTGGTTTTGCAGACTTCAGTGAACTTGCACTGACTTATCAGCAAAGTTAGCAAAGATCAGAATCTACTCCTTGTTTAGAGAAACCTTGAATTTGTAATAAAGACAGGGAGAGAAACCGTGCTTAAATCAAAGGCAGGGTCCTAAAATGTCTTCGAAAGACAGGAAGTTATTTCCTGTTAAATTAGTGGGGGTGTTAAATCCATTGAAGTCCAGTGAGCTCAATGAAAATTACATGCTGCTCTTTACAAATGTTTATATACCAACAGTTACATTTATCTTTGAAGTAGCTAAACTAATTAAATTTTAATAAAGGGGACTCATATCTTCTCCCTTTGAAATGCAAAATAATAGAAGTGAAAATGATTTTGTGGTCCATTATAACGCTTAGGTGCTGTTGGAAACCCTGGAAAAAGTGGACTTGTTGGTGAAAAAGGTAATCAAGGTCAGGATGGCATGCCTGGTCCCCCAGGAGCAAAGGGAGAACCAGGTAACACCAGTGAAATATTTTCATTCTGTTTACAGTTGTGTTTTTCCCTAGTTAAACTGACAAAGAGTTATTTGGGAAGGATTAATAAAGAACTTCTGCGGAGCCAAAGATAAGTTTCTAAGTAGAAGGTTTTTCACTTTTACGTGATTCACAGGTTTTCCTATGTAATTGTACATGCTCTTAACAACGTGAATGCATATGTCACTGCTCTATTATACATGTGATTTGTCATAACTGTCCCTAAAAATGTTAATGTCTGTAAGAGCCAAAGTATTGCTGTTAACAGTTCTTATGTGTTTGTATCAGAGAGATGAAAAGAACAAAAATCCTTTTAAATGAGTCTCCTCTTATGTGGAAATAAGATAAAAGGAATCACAGTGTTTACTTACATGAATAGTGAAGGTTTCCATGACCTGGCTCTTGGGTTGTAAATCTTTCATTTAAGTGTCACTCCTGATGTCATCAAGGTCCATAGGTAGATTTAGTCCTCCACTGAATTCTGACAAAGTCTTTTTCATAATTTACAGTGAAAATGTTTCTTTGTATAATAGTTTAAAGAGGATACTGAGAAGGCATTCATAGTATTTACTAAGTTTTTTCATATTAAGTTTGAAGTAATCACTGTTAACATATTGGTTTTTTAGATATTTACATTTCTTCCTTTATTTTTCTTAGTAACTTATATGCATATTCTTCTTCTGTTTGTTTTTCCTCTAAAAAAAGACAAAGCTTATTATTGTAGAATGTACCTCAAATATGATTGATCAATAAGAGTTCCTACTATAAAGAAAAACTTACAAATTTAATTTGTATTTCTGGATAGAAGATATAGAAATAACGAATAAATTATATTTTACATATAACTAAAATCTAGGGTTTGATTCAGACAATTGTGAAGAAATGTATGAAATAGTAGACAACTATGATGTTTTCTAACAATTATTCAGGACTTTGAGTGTAATGTGACCTAATATTTTCTAGGAGCACCAGGGAGAGGAATCCCTGGCCTTCGAGGTGTTCCTGGTCGTAGAGGTGAGTTGTCTTTCCAGAAAGCAAAAGCTTAATTTTTAAATACCGGAATCATCATCCTCAGCTGTAAGTTGCCTCCTGATTTTGGATGCTTGAAATGGCACTAAGAGTGTCAGAGGAAAACAAGAGTGATTCTGTGCTTTTGATCAATGATTTGGTGCTATATATTAAATGTCACGAGTTCTTGCTTGTAAAGTTAAGACTATTGTAAAAGGGAAATGAAGAAGCCAACTCCATGGTTTTGTGAAGGTGATATACATGTTCTAGAGCTTTTGAAATTTTATTTTGATACATAATTTGATTAACAGAGTATGTTCTAATGAAAACAGATGATGCTGCTGGATATTAAGCATACTGTAAGAAAGCTATAGTGATTGCATTTTAATTTTGTTCATCTCCCCTTTTATATTGATGAACAGTTGACTGAGGGGACTCTTCCCATTTTTTAGGTGTTGCATTGTATTTCTAGTACTGGTAGAAATCCGTTGACTTGCCTTACTTTAAAAAAAATAAATTTCTTCACTTCATACTCTCCAGACACAGATCATGCACTCTAAGATCAACCTTAGAACAATACCCTTTTGGAGTAGTCTCTTATGTTATTGTACTCATATTGATGCTTTTAGCTGGAATTTAATTTAGAAGGATTTGCCAGTTCTGATGTTCAAAGAAGCATTTCTTTTGCTCATGCATCAAGAAATATTGTCTTTCTATCCTCCTCTCAAGTTTATTCCTTTGTATGAGCAATCTCTGAAATGGACTTTTTAAAAGAAAAGATCTTAAAAGAAGAGTGGTGCATACATTACCTTGCAGTGAGTCCTGCCTTCTCACAACTATTTCGCTTTATAGTAGCTAGGTGGCTTTGTGGACTACTCCATAATAAAAAAAAAGGATGAATTCCACCTCTGCGGTATAGTAAATGCACATATTCTGTGTAGTCACATCATCTTGCCATCTTGACAGCTCTCCCCATATGTAATACTTGTACTTTGCAGGAATCAAGGGGGACATGGGACTGCCTGGTTTTCCTGGGCCACCAGGAATGAAAGGTCATCAGGGTGATCAAGGACCCGTTGGACCTCCTGGCTTAGTGGGGTTACCTGGATTTCAAGGCGCAACAGGAATGGCAATTACTGGCCAAAAAGGGAATAGAGGTATTGCTGGTGCAGATGGCAGAACAGGTGTGTTGTTATAACTGCTTATTTTTCTGAAATGATATACCGATAACTGAAAGCAAAATTCAGTCTGTCCAGAACTCAAGGTTGAAAGGGCTCTTCCCCCAAGACAGCTTCATACTTAAACAGGATAGTTCCTTTACCAGTTAATGCAATGTTAGCTTTGCAAACACCGTGATGGTCTATGCATTATGATGTAAATTAAAATAATGCTAAGCTTTGCAATCCACTTGATTGCATTACTTTGCTTTTTTCCCATGCAGTCTGTAGGGCAGCCAAGATCCAACTTTAAAGAAGGGAGATAGCATGGCTGTGATTACAGGCATAACTATACTGGAGGATACTCAGAAAACTGTAGTGCTATAGAGTACTGCAAGAATTCAGCTCTGATCTCAGATTAAGTTAGCAGGCTAGGAATAATGAGTTGCTTTTTTTGTAATGGGTATATATCCTTGAGAATCATTGTGGTGGTAGACATGAGTTCCGTTACAGAGTTGTTGAATGTTGTACTGCATTGTATGTAATGTATATGAAATGCTGTTGGCAGTAGTCTTTACTTACTCTGATGTTTCTGTACAGGTGCTCCTGGTTTTCCAGGGCCTCCTGGTCTTCCCACTCCCAGCATGAAAGGAAGCAAAGGTGTTAGAGGGGCAGATGGCATACCAGGGCCAACAGGCCCAGCAGGCGACATTGGTCCTCCTGGCCCAAAAGTCAGTGAAAGGAATATTGCTTGTTTCTTACTCCATTGTTAATTTTCCTCTTACCATGAAAGTAACACACAGGACAATTTAAAAAAACAAAACAACAAAACAAAACAAAAAACCCCCACATCCCCCCCCTGAAAAAAATATAATAAAGATATTAAAATGGATATGAAAAGAAGTATTTATGTACTAAGTGGACCAAAAATAAATTACTGTGAATTTCTGGCATGTCATTTCCTTGGATGTTCTGTGTTACAGAATAATATTAACAATGATATGACTATTTCTAACATGCTCACAAATAGAGCAGATAATTCTAGTTGTAGCGTATTCTGTGAACATAATGCTTTGAATATTCTGAAGAAAAAGAAATTGTACTTCATAGCATGCAGATGCTGCTTCCTGTTTATTATTGGTGTTACCTCATTTGCAGGGAATAGAAGGTCGATCGGGTTATCCTGGTGCTAGAGGGGACCCTGGATTTCCTGGATTCCCGGGTGTAAAAGGTATTCATGTATTTATTACACACATGTCTGTGTGCCAAATACGATCATTCACATGTTGCGACACATTAGTATGTGTGTAATGGTACCAGGTGCGGTCCTAGCGACGTGAGGTTTTCCATCAAGAGCAGGGTGTAACTCAGCTATAAATGAAAGCGTTCACTAAGAGAGCATTTTCTTTGGGTTAGATGCTATGGATATGCCCAAACTAACATTAAAGTGAGGAAGGGCTGAAACTTCAATGGCGTCCATTCCAGGCAAATTCAAAACAAAGTTGTCCTCAGTGTAAGGACTTTGGGACTGAGTCTGCTAATTAGAAATGCCACACCACTGCTAGAAGATGTACTTTTTGGCAGCCTCTTAGCTGTGGAACTCGAGAGCATTTAATCATAGTTAGAGGACCCCGTGCTTTGTGTTTGCCATAAGAATAGTCCTAATTATAGTCTAATTTACCACTTTATCAGCAGATGAATGTTAAATGCATTGGCTTCATTAATTTCATATTCCTGAGGGTTGATTGGATCAGTAGCTGGCTAAAATTCCTTTTAATTTAGGCATTTTTCTAGTGATTTAAATCTGATATAGGTCTGCATTACTCCAATATTCTCATTTTTCAATTACATGATTTACAGTGACACAAAATTGTCACTACCTATTTAACCTACTTCTTTGTGTATTATTGCGTATTTTAAATTTTTTCTAATTTGAAAAGTCACCATACAAACAGTAATTATACTTTCTTAAGCAAAAAGCTCTTGCTACATGGCAGTCAGTCAAATCTCCTGACTTGATGATAAAAATACATACTTTTTTTTTCCAGCAGAGCTGTGGAGAGTAGGATGTAACCTCATATTTTGCACAGTGAAAAGAGTTGCTTATTAAGTTTCAAACACTTGAAAAACTATACAATCCTTTTAACAGCCATTAGCATAACTGACAGTAGTGTTTAAAGGGAGTTGAACTGCACAGCATCACTGAAGGCAGCACTTGACCTGCAAACTCAGTGACAAAAACGCATAAGATAAAAAGAACATAGTCTAAAGTTGAGCTTTTAAGCTAGGTTTATCTGACCAGCCATTATATGAAGGTAGGCATGGAAACATCTTATAAACTGACTGCATTTGGCCTATAAATTATACAGTAACAGCAGAGACGTAGAAGTCCACTTTCGCATCTCAAATGCAGCAGTCTGTGTTACTCTTTGGGAAGGTTGCATGGATCATGCAGGACTCTTAAATAAACCTGAAACTTTAACAATTGTTTTGACATTTTAAACAAGACAGACATATCTCAAATCTTCTTTTTTAGGAGAAAAGGGTGATCAAGGACCCCCTGGACCACAAGGTGCAAAAGGGCCAAGGGGACCAAAGGGCCAGCGTGGTAACCAACCCTTCTCATTCTAATGCCAGCTAACTTAGGTTGATCTGTTTGTTTTGTTTTGTAGTTTGTTTGCTTTCTTTTGGTATAAAGCAATAGCTCTTCATTATATTTTTGCGGCTAGGTCAACCTGGAGTCCCTGTGAGAATGTTCTCCATCCCAGGAAGCAAGGGTCCTCCTGGACTGCCAGGAATCCCAGGAACACCAGGTGATCAAGGAATTCAAGGGATTCCTGGACTACAAGGTAGTTTATATTTTTACCTCTGTACATGTTTGTGTATGTTTGTTTAGTGGAACATTTTGGCTTGGTGGGAAAACATGCTTTTGCATAGAAAATCAACATGTCTTTAAAAATACCTCTACATATTTAAAAATGGCTCTTTGTAGCTTGTTAACAACCTTGTATTTGTAACCTGTCCCATTCCATCTGCCCTCCACCCTTGCAGTCAGTGAGTGAGTAAGTTTCTCCCTCAACATAAGCATAAGCAAAGTAATGGAATAAAAAATAAACTTGGATCCAAACACTCACCATTTTCATACAAACAGAACCATGCTCAGGATGTTTGTCATTTTCAGGGGGAAATTACCACACATAATAGAAGTACTCTAGATGTGCTATGAAGTGATTGTGTCTGTCATAGGCTGGGAGTGGGAAGGGAAAGGAGAAGCTGGCTACTTCTCCATTGTCACTAGAAGTGAAGCCTGCCGTGCCTGGGAGGAATGGGGAAGCAAGGACCAGGTAGGATGAGGTGGACGTGCAGTGGTTATGTGGCCACCCTTCTCAATACCCCAGCTTTCCACCCCAGGAAGGGAGCTCCTTGGGGAGCAGGCTTGCCAGAAGGCATGCCCCACCCAGGAATGAGAGTTGCCTCCAGCATAACAAAGCAGGCACTAAACAATTGTTCTTTTACACTTTCCTTAAAATTGTTCTACAAAGGAGCTGCATTATTTATAAAACCACAAACCGTGACCAAGATGATTATGGCCTGTTACTATATTTTTTAAATATTTCCATTATATGACACATGCTAAAAGAAGAAGCTATTTGCTTGGTTTCTGTATGCATTTCTTATGAGAATAATATTTTTCTGCAGTACATTCAATATTTCCTTGTAATCTTCCTGATAGGAAATATGGTGACAGTAACACTACAGACAGTCTCAAAACTTAGTAAATTTATGATGATGGTTTTATTCTAAATGCATAGGGGATTTTAACTTTAGTCAGTAATAGCTATTAAAATCTAGAATAACTACTGCTATATGATTCTGTTTTTTTCTTGATTACAATTTAGGACCTAAAGGAGTAAAAGGTCTACCAGGAAGTTTTGGTCATCCAGGTCAACCAGGACTGCCTGGTCCAAAAGGAGACAGGGGATTTCCAGGACAAAGAGGTACAGGGAAGCAGACATCTCTGACTGCTACTGCTGAATTTACAGATAAACTGTATTCTTCTTGCATGCATTGAGATTCTGTAACATTTACAGTAGCTTTAGGGCCACAAGCACACATAAGGACATTCTCAGCTTTTCACAGATGCATGTTCACAACTGAAATAATAATTTACAAAAATATGCCTTGGCTGTGCTCCTCTGTTATTAATCACATTTATCTATCTACTTGAAATCCCTAGCTATCAGTGTGTCTTTTTAAGACATCAAAATACTTCTGACTAAATAAATACTTGCATTTAGTCACCATAGAATGTTTTTACTGTACAACTTTTTGGGTAAAAAATGGCCATGGTTCTGTAAAATACCTCACTATTCCATGACACTATGCAATGTAAAGCTACCGGAGCTAGATCTGAAAGAGTTAATACACCTAGCAACAAATACTACCAGTTTTCAAGTTGTACCTCATTATTGATGAGTTTTTATTTAGTTTTCAAGTGGTTCCACTAATTTAAATGAAGTAAAAATTCAAACAAAATTATAATATTTGCAGTCCTATTTCTTTCCCCTCCACAGGAGAACCTGGACTGATTGGCTTTCCAGGACTACAGGGGTTACCTGGATCACCAGGTACTATCATTGCTGGTCCAACAAGAAGAGGTTTTGTCTTTACCCGGCATAGTCAATCAACAAAGATTCCTTCTTGCCCACATGGAACATTGCAGATCTATGTTGGCTATTCGCTGCTTTTTGTACAAGGAAATGAACGAGCACATGGACAAGATCTTGGTACTGTATTGGTAAAAATTTTCAGATTGCTTTCTTTAGAGTCCAGTAATGCTAAGCTGTCAGAAAACCAAACTCCCAGTAAGTGTCTGAGATGAACACGTGTTCAATCATCAGTCTCCAGAGTGGTCTGCTGCTCTGAGTCAATTCAGGAATCATGGCTTGAAAGACACCTTTCTTTCCTGTACTCCTGTATACCCTTTTTGCTATCCCTAGACATTTTTTTGAGGAGGAATTAAGTTGCTTATGGATAGATATCTAGTATAAATGTTCGCAACCTCTGCACAGGGCTGACCGTAACAACACAGGCTCTGGGAGAGAATCTTACTTTTTTGGAGACTAAATGGGATGCTTTAGGATGCCCTGCCACTGTGTCAAGGACCATTCAAGAAGATATTATTTTAAGAAATTTTGTTCCTAGCCCTTATTTTTTATATACATATTCTTATATATACCATAAGCATTTTGCTTTCAGATCATTCCACTGTACAGACACTTCTCTCTTTAAAGTTACCAACTGGTTTAATTCTCACTGTAGTAGATCGGATGCCATCATGTGTCTCTTCTGTTCGCTGCACTAAATATAAGCTCCTATCTGTCACAAACCTCTCCCCTTTTGTCTTTTAGGAACAGCTGGTAGCTGCTTGCAGAGATTTACCACCATGCCATTCCTATTCTGTAACACCAATGATGTTTGCAGTTTTGCTTCTCGCAATGACTATTCATACTGGCTGTCAACTGTAGCAGTAATGCCGGTAGACATGGCACCAATTTCTGGCAGGGCACTAGAGCCCCATATAAGCAGGTAAGAGTGTTAAGAATTTTAGCTCTTCTGGCCCGGAACCACAAAGAGATCAGAAATTGTTTTGAACAGCAAATCTTAGGCAAAGACCTGCCCATCTCAGCCAGTACAAGCCCTGCTTTTAACCACCTGATTTTTGATTACTCACCTGAATATGTCACATATTCAGTAATACTCTAAGGAAAGTTAGTTTAAAGCTAGTGTCCCACCACAGGGCTTAATTTGCATACCTGACATAAGAAACTGGCACACAATCCTATTGATTGCAGTACTGTTTTTCTAAAAACCTATTGCGTATATCGGAGGCAGACAAAAATTAAATAAAGACAGCTTCATTATTTGGAATACAGTATAAATCAAGTTCTGCTTTCAGTTATGTGTGATACATTTACTGTAGTTTATGAAGAACATTGTAAGTTGAGGCTGAAGATTCTCTGGTATGAAACACCCTTGTGCAGATGTGGCCCTTTCTAGTTGCTTTAGAATAGCTGAGAAGGATGAAGAGCATCTTAAGAGGAAAGGCTCTAAAAGCATAAAAGACCAAAAGTAGCAAAATCAAAGATGGAAAGGCAAGCTTTGCACTCTGTCTTCTAGCCTGCCCTACCCAGTTGTTGCAATCTAGTAGCTCAGCTTCATAGTTTCTTCATTTAGCAAATAAAGGTACAGAACTTTGATCTAAACCATAACATCACAAAGTACTGAGCACATGGAGGTGGTGAAATTTAGCTTGTTACTTCAGTAAAGGCAAAATTAGGAATGTTCTGGGACTAATTCCCATCTTATACCAATTTTTGTCTGGTGTCACTAGTAGAGATTGCAAAGCAATTTCAAAGCAAGGTATTTGGGTTATCTTCAATTTACCTCCTCATTAAACAGAGAAAACCTGTGTGAGTTGTAACACTTATAGTAAGCCCTGCCATTAGGTAGCTACTATCCTAGAAGATACAATTTTTGTCTGCTATCATGTTTTCCCTCACATCTGCACTGAATGCATGTGCGTTTCTTCTTACAGGTGTGTTGTCTGCGAAGGACCTGCAATGATAATAGCAGTTCACAGCCAAACAACTGTAGTTCCTGCATGTCCAGAAGGCTGGTTCTCTCTCTGGAAGGGTTTTTCTTTTGTTATGGTAAGGACATAAAGACTCGTATTATTAATTTTATGTCCTCTCACTTTCATTGGCATTTTCATCTGCTCATAACTCATTTGTTTCTTAATAATTGTTAAATTTTCTTTTCCATTGCCAAGAAGTAGACAATAATTCTCTTAACTCTCGTTCAATGCCAGAAGCATAGGAGCAACTATTCTGATCTGTCCTCAAAAGTAGGTGGCAGGAGGAAAAGGGGAAAAGATGGAAGGAGAACCATAGGATTTTAGCCTGACAGAAATAACTGCATGCTCTCATTTTCATGTGTCATGCTGAGATCTAAGAAACAGGTTTGGGGATTGGAGTGGTTAAACCGGTCCTGAACACAAATACGCAGCAATAACTAACCCACTTCCATGCCAGTTCTTTTATAAATCGGATCTTGGGGCTGAACTCCACAGAAAGGTAAAATCAAAACAAATGCAGTACACTGTCTATAAAAGACTGCCTCAGCAATTTTGATGCCATAACGAGGTACAAGTGAAGAAAGTCTATAATGTGCCTGCAAGGTGAGAACTGAGTATGGGAATAAGGGTGTATTTATACCAGGAGATGCAGCACTTCATCTTTGTTAGCTATGCCTGTGGAATGTCATAGGGATGCCAGCAAATGAGGGTAAAAGACAGAGTTAAACCCCCCCTCTTTTTTGCATGCTGTAAAGTCCTTTTAGGTCTAGTGTGAAATTTGTTGCCTCTTCTGGGATTTTGCCCTAAGTAGTAATAATAATAATAACAATAATCTTAGAAAAGAGTGAGAGAATTTTTGCCACATCCGGTTAAAATCATTTGCTTGTTTCCGACATCAGCAAATTTAAATGGCATTTTCTAGCCAATTCTCTACTGCCATAAATTATTTTAGAGCTATTTCTACAAGCATTTACCAACATCAGAGAAGGAAAATGCCTTTTGCTTTTTGTGTTTGGAGAAGCAATCAATGCAATAAAAAAAATATGAACCCACAAAACAGGGGATTTGGCTTATTTGTAATTCAGTTACTGTAGTCCTCAACTGGCCAGAAGCCAACTACTTTCTAGTCTTTGTACCGGTTACAGTTTCATGCCTTTTCATGGAACTGAAAAAAGGCTTTTGCAGGGACTCAAGAAATGCCGTAACTGCTTGAATTTTCATAAGGCTTCTGTGCTTCATTGTAAGTTTTATCAAACTAAGCTGCGTTCCTTTTGTTTTGTCCAAGATATGCCACAGAACATACGGTATGTTTTAGAAAGAGATTTTTTTTTTTTTGCCTGCAGTTTACTAAAAGCTGATGGACAAGTTCTCATAAAAAATGTATTGGTGGTTACAGTACACAAGTGCCGGCTCAGAGGCTTCTGGCCAAGCATTGGCATCTCCTGGATCTTGTCTGGAAGAATTTCGAGCCATCCCATTCATAGAGTGCCATGGCAGGGGGACATGCAACTACTACACAAATTCCTACAGCTTCTGGTTGGCATCGTTAAATCCAAGAAGAATGTTCAGGTAAATTGTACTTCTCTGCATCCATTCTGCAGTTGCCCAAGGAGACAATAACTGCCTGCATAATATGTTGGGGCTCCCCTAGTAAGTCCCCACAGTTTAGGCATCTCCCTTTGTTAGGTTTAGGGTCATTCTGTAGCACAAAGATGCCCTAAGTGAGCCAAGGATTCCAATGTTGTTGTCAATTCCATATCCAAAGTTTCATCGTCTCTCCCTGTTTTTTAAAGAAAAAAGTAAATGTTTTCTTTCTTCTAGGAAACCTCTGCCACAGACCTTGAAAGCAGGACAACTAGAAAATATCATCAGCCGTTGTCAGGTCTGCATGAAGAGACCAGTCTAAACAGTGGCCACTCTTGATGGAACATGAAATCCTGCTTTTATTACACCAAATTGCCTAACTCTGAAGAGCTATAATTTATTAAAGTCCAACTGCATCTGGAAAGAAAATTATAAATTGCCAGTGCAGCACTGTGGTGAGGTAGGGCAACAGTTTGACTTTTGTCTTTGGCAAATGACAAAGCACTTCGTTGGAGAAAGCTTGTAATGGCAGTCTGCAGGGGTTTCTCCTGAACTACGTAATTTCTAAGCTGCATCTTCATGATAAAACTATGGCATTGCCAGATCTTTAATGAAAGATGTTAATGCTGCCTTGTGTCATGTGCTTTTCAAACCGCAAGACAAACTAAATGCTCTAACATCAGCTTACATATGTTCAGTGTTCAAAGTGGATATAATTTAAGGTGACAATCTGGCACTTAGGAGAGAGAGAGTTCAATAGGAAATTATTTTCAGTGCACTTTTAAATATATATTGATTCATTTAGGGTTGGTTTGTGGGTTGTTTTTTTTCCTTGTCTAATAAAGAAGTATCTCCCCACTTACCTC